GAAAACTTGCATTTAAAGGTGAATTGCATTTGAAGGTACATGTTGTTGTAGTCTTTGCAACAGAACCTTGCTCTCTACTCAAAATCAGTGGTCTGACAAAAAAGCAAAAGACTACGCTATCACCCAGTTACATTTGACAGCTGCCACATCTATTTGTAGTCAGACATTGGTAAGTTGCTGAGGAATGAACAGGTAGTACCAAACTGGGGAAATAAAGGTCACAATATCTCTATACTGCATACATCAATGTACCAATAATTCAAAATACAACAGAGACATGGAGAAACTATTAATTGTTGATGGCAGATCTGAGATGCAAATATAATGCGATTCCAATTCCAACACCTTTATGTGGGAGCATTACCAGACTGTGAAAAAACTGTAAAAATATCATAAGCACACCTCAGTGATTCAGACATCGTAGATGATGATTTTGAAGAGGATGACGTAACATGAAGACTTAATTGATGAAGAAGTAGTGGAACTAAATGATAATGATGATGACAATTCATTGTTTTAACTATTGCAATAAAATCATTAATAATACAGTAGTCCGTAGTATCATAAGTATGCATTCCCATTGACTACAACTTTTAGCACACTGCTATCAATGCCGAAATTTACAGCAAAGTTGAAACAACAAAGGGCTAAATTATACCAAAAAACTAAGTTGTTTTGCCAAAAGACTATAGAGTTATAAGAATGTTTGAGGTATGGTTATAGGTCCAATCTTAGGAAAAGTGAGCATATAAGTTTAGCATGTACGTTAAATCAGTATAAATGCTCACCTACACCTTCTTTAGTTATTGCTTCGAGGTCTAAACGCATCGAGAAAATGTTATAGCCTTTCATCCACAAGAATGAAGCACAAAGATACAGCCTACAAAATCAGCAAAATATCCGCCATTATGACGTCACTTGGAAAATAAAAGTCACGTGAGCTGTCATTTGGCGGGACAACTGTTTTAGTAACAGGGTAGGGTATAGCCTAGAGGTTTGGGATTAACATACCACTTATAATGCATGTATGTACATATATACACAATGTACAGGTCTTTTGCTGTACAAATTTATTCCTAATGTAACTAGATCTAGCAATAGACTTCTCTTCTATTGTATCCAGTAATGTAGCTAATCAGTGATGACCAACTGAGACCTCCTTTCTCTCTCACTTTATCTTCTCCTCTTAACCAGGCAGGCATACACTGTAGTGCTTTCCTGTAATTTAACTAATTGCTTAATAATACTTGTTTGCAGTTTGTATAGCTTTCATTTTCATAATCAATGTTTTTAAAAGCTGCATGTCATTCAAGTGTAATCATCACTTGAACATTATGTGTCTCTCTGTGCAGTCAGCTTAGCTTTCATAATTTTGATTTTGTTTTTCTCTTTTTGTTGCAATAATGTAGTACAACCTCGTATATATTGCATTATGTTTAAAGCCAGTATCCATCAAGTATTTTCATAATTTTAATCTCATGATGGCCTTATTTTTTAAGTTGAAATAAAAACTCATTTAGTGGTTGACTAACAATGTATTCTCTTGCTGTATATTCTCATAACAGCTGTAGTTTTTCAGTTATAAAATAAGTGGTATCATTACTTTAAGATCATAATATCTTATTAGTAAGTTATTGCTGTTCTTTTCTTCATAATGTCTGATAGTGTTCCTCTATTAAGCTCATCATCAGTTACTAGTAGAAGGAGATGTTCCTCTTGTTCTTCCTCTTATCGTTTCCAGTTCATTCACTCTAAGGGAGCACTACTAGCTGCATGGTACTATTCTGGGACTTGATGATATCTGTTAGTCAGAATTTATTCTCAGTTTTATTCTTTTTGCCTTCACTGATTATTATTTTTTTATAAGATTGATAGCTTCTCTTATTTCATTTTTTTCTGAATATTTCGGTGATTTCTTAGTGAGTAAATATAAAGTTGTTCTGGTTGGATCATATGCTACATTTATTTTACTAATTCCTTTTATAATGATCTACATCATGATTCTACCATCATATACATATTTGCTGTTGGGGTTATATGCATTGTCATCCACTACTGTTACTATTGTACGTGTTACTCTGTTACCATTCAATATTGATCAGCTCATTGGATCATCAAGTGATGAACTAACTGCTGTACTACACTGGCATAATATGGGACCAATTATTACTACTGCAATTAATTTGTATGATGTCAAAATACTACCTCTATTATTAGCTGGTATTGTCTGTGTTTCTGCGGTACTGGTCAGTCACAGTCTCTTCAATGGTTATCTTGATACTACTCCTGTGAATCCAGTCAATCCAGTCAAACTGATAGTTCGAGTATTGTGTTATGCCAGGAAGCACAAGTATCCTGAGAGTTGTAGTGCTCTGACCTACTGGGAGGAAGAGGCTCCTTCAAGACTAGACCTGGGTAAGGATAAATATGGTGGACCATTCACAGAGGAAGAAGATGTGAAGACTGTTCTATACCACTGGTGGTTATTTGTGATGTGACATCAGCGTTATATGAAGAGAATATTTTTTAATTGAGACTTGAAAGTTATGGGTGCCATAGCCCTGGTAATCTTCAGTTATTTTTTTAATAACATATGTATTTATCATTTTTCTCAACCAGTTTCTCATGTATCCATGTTTTCATAAGTACATTCCTAGTATGCTGAAGAGAATAGTAACTTGTCTGGTACTAATAGTTTTTGTTAATATTCTTTACACTGGACTAGCAGTCATTTGTAATTATCAGTTTGGACAAATGTTTCACTGTCTCACTTCTTTTGTTGATATAGTGTACTTATCCATCCACTATTAGTCGTCAATGGACTATCATCAGATATGTCTTTGAAGCAGTTTTTTGGTATATTTCCAATGTTGTATTAATCGAATTTATACTTGCTCAGTGTCCTAAATCAATGAGAGGAACTATGATTGGATTGTGGTTCTGTATCTGGAATTTGAGAATCTACATTCTATTTATGTTATCCCTTCCATTCCTTCATTTCATGAATCTAGAGGCTTCAATTGGTTGTGGATTCTTCTTTCACCTGGCAAGGACCGTTGTGACTTTATTACTTTTACTTATTTATATATTCCTTGCTAAAAGGTACAAGTTACGTGCGAGAGAGGTTAAAATTAACATTCATCAAATTGCTGAGAAGCACACCATTAACAATATTGAACAAGAAGAGGAATACTGGAGGAGGAATCTAATAGAACTCTCCAGCCAGTCAACTGATATCATAACCTCAGGGTATTAAGAACTGGAATGATGCTTTTTGAATTTTTTAGTTTGTATATTATTTATTGACTGTTCCTTTGTAGTTGTTGGCTTTCATTTTCTTAATTAAATTTTTTTTAATGCTAATAAAGGGAAAATATCAATTGTTATAACCAAGGGCGTAGCTAGCATAAGGCTAGGGTAGGCTATAGCCTACCCTGAACTGAGTTCAGAAGTCAGAATTGAAGTTTAGTAGTTTACCTATATTGAGTTTCTGCCTTAGTCACTTATGATCAAAGATTATAGAAGTTTAGGGTAGCTGTCTCAACTGGCAGTTACTAACTCAGTCACTTTTGACACAGGCAAACAGAGACAGGAGAAAGAAAAGAAAAACAGCCACAATTATTATAATTAAAGGTGGAGTCTTTACATAATTAACTTAATTAATTAGCTAGCTTAATAAAATTATAAAAAGTTAACTTTAAGTGAAGCCATCAAGCCATCACAATGTCAGCTGCAAAGAAACAAAAGCTTTGTGATTTTTTATGCAAAATTTAGTTGAGTATATTAGTAGTCAACTCCAGCCATATAGACTATTTGTACTGAAGATGAGCATGAGGAGATTGAAGATGATGATCTTGTGAATGATGATTTTGTTGATTGTGCTGCTACCTTGAGTCTTGCCTGAGTCTTCATCTGAGTCTGAGTGTGAAGCACTTGCGAGAACCATAGATATTAGAGTAAATGAAACTTCATATTGCAAGAACACGCCCATTTCGCGGCTGTAAAAGTGGGCGTGGCCAAATCGGCGGCGCGCTTTGCGCGCCCTTTTTTTACTCATAGCTTACCCCTTCCTTTTTTTCTCCCTACGCCCTTGGTTATAACCTTATACATGCACTATTATTGCACCTCAACTTAATGCCATTATTATTAAAATATTACTATTATCATTTCACTGGTTAGGTTCAGATATATCTGTACAGTCACTTATCCACTGAGTTCTGTATGTCTAAACTGGGCACTACATCACTTGATTTACGTGACATTATTGGAGTGAACCAGTTAATGTTCATTCTTAAGGAACACTACACACTAACTAATGGAAGGGAAACTAACAAAGACATTAGACCATATCTTATATTGATGGTTAAACGATTTGCTACTAAAGTAAGTGATGATCTTTTATCATTTAATTATTATTCCATCATGCTATTAGGGTAAAGAAACATGTTTGGATGAACTAGTATCAATATTGAACTTCTTACTGTCAAGTAATACATTAGTGTAGTTTGTAATTTTATTTTAATTTTGTTTTTTTAGCTACACACACTTAGTTAAAGGCTCAGTTGTCCGATGCTTTCAAAGAGGACGATGAAGAAGAGAAAGGTTTTGTGTCTCTCTCTGTTCGTGAGACCAAGAGTGATAGTGATGATAGAGACGAGTCTCATAGAATTGGAGTCCTGACACACCTCCAGTTTTGGGACATGATCATATCAATCCGTTGGCTAGTTTTGAGTCGAGTATAATATCAGTTGATCTTAGCAGTAGTACCTTAATGAGTGCCTCAGTAGTTGAAGTTGAGGTAATTAACATTAGTTACACAGCTACATGTACCGTGATGTATGTATATGTACTTGTACTTGTATATATGTACATGTGCATGGTCATAACCAAATTGTTGTGCTCATAATCAATGTATTAACTTGCAGGAAAATTGAGAATTTGAATTCTCTACATTTTAATTTTGGCGAAATTTGGCTAAAGCCCCTGTACTAAGTTTATTAATAATTTTTTCAAAACAGATGAGTAGGATCCACTTTGTGCTAATGTGTCACAAAAGTAATGGGAATAAGGACAAGTAGGATTCCAAATGACCAACGAAAATACAGAATGAAATCCTACTGTCATGATGTAAATTCTACTCTACATTGTACTTTCGACATTATTATATAAGAAATTACAGATAATCTTGTAATGTAGAGTAGAGCACATGTCTATGTGTATGTGTATACATGCCCTACACACGCAGATCTTCATTACAATGCATTACTAGTAAAAAATTAACTCTGCCTAAATATTTGCCGTTTTAACCAATAAACTGTATTTTTGTATTTTTAGAACAATGAATGTACACTACACAACTTTTTGGCTATTTTTGTTTTTGCAACTTCATGCCATCAATTTGCAGATTAAAGTAACCACAAAGTTGCATTGTTTTGTCTCTGTTTTTTTCATTTATTTATTCATTAAAATGTTTTAATTTTTTTATTTCCGCACAGAAATATTTGCTGTATCATGTCATTCTAAGAAAGAAACAGGAAGATGCTTCAAACTTATTCGTCAAGTAGCAAACCCAGCAATGAATACTGTATCAACTACTAAAGCATGATTAGTGAGTATATTAAGGAAGTATAGGTTTGAAAGATCACCTGATACTCAGGTTGGTTGTAGATTAACTTACTTGTCATATAAAA